CTGCTGCTGCTGCTACTGCTACTGCTTCTTCTGCTGTTATTGCTGCTGTTACTGTTGCTGCTGCTACTGCTACTGCTGCTGCTGCTGCTACTGCTACTGCTTCTTCTGCTGTTATTGCTGCTGTTACTGTTGCTGCTGCTGCTGCTACTGTTGCTGCTGCTACTGCTGCTGCTGCTGCTACTGCTACTGCTTCTTCTGCTGTTATTGCTGCTGTTACTGTTGCTGCTGCTGCTGCTACTGTTGCTGCTGCTACTGCTGCTGCTGCTGCTACTGCTACTGCTTCTTCTGCTGTTATTGCTGCTGTTACTGTTGCTGCTGCTGCTGCTACTGTTGCTGCTGCTACTGCTGCTGCTGCTGCTACTGCTACTGCTTCTTCTGCTGTTATTGCTGCTGTTACTGTTGCTGCTGCTGCTGCTACTGTTGCTGCTGCTACTGCTGCTGTTACTGCTGCTATTGCTGCTGCTGTTGTTGCTGCTGCTGTTACTGCTGCTGTTGCTGCTGCTGCTGCTGCTGCTGCTGCTGCTGTTGCTGCTGTTGCTGTTGCTGTTGCTGCTACTACTACTACTACTACTACTGTTGCTGCTGTTGCTGTTGCTGCTACTACTACTGCTGCTGCTGTTGCTGCTGCAATCATGACCAGATCACGACCCTCACGTCTCAGATGTCAGGATACGGCGTGCAGCCAGCGACGGCGATTGTTAGCGGGGGCGTGCGAGAGCGCCACCTGGTGCTTAGCATCAGTGCAGTGTGGCGCAGCAACCCTGGGGCATTGCCTCTGCTCGTTTTTCTCGTTATCTCACACGTACTTTGTTCGTAATCTCACCTGAGCTTTGTTCATTATCTCACCTGTTGGCTCGCTGCAGGAGTTTGATCCGGAGGAGTTCTATCACCTGCTGGAGGCGGCCGAGGGTCAGGCAAAGTTCGAGCAGGGTGTCTCCAAGCCCGACGTTCCTAAATACATCATCAACAAGCTGGGTCTCAACCGCGACCCGCTCGCCGGTAGGTGGCGCTAGCTGTCACGCGCTCGTGTGCGTGTGGCTGCATTACCGTTGACACAGTAACACCTGTGTGTGTATGCCTGTACTGCAACGAAACGTGTTAGCTACCACACGCCTTTATGGAACAGACACCTGTCTATGAAAGACACTTTTTGTGTGTGTTGCCTTTTAGTAGCAGTTACATGGTGAAACCACCTCTATAGAACCGACACTTGTCTATAAATGACCGTGTCTTTAGTATATAGTAGGCTTCGCTCCTTGTAGCAGACATATCAGAATAAAGTAAATGAAACGTGTATGTGTGTGTGTGTATCTACTGTGTCAGTGGTTGTGTGTATGTGTGTACTGTGTCAGTGGTTGTGTGTATGTGTATGACGTGTATGTGTATGTGTGTGTGTGCGTGCGTGCGTGCATGCGTGCGTGCGTGCGTGCGTGTGTGTATAACAGCTTCCATCGCTGCTTGCAGACATATCAGGGGAGCTGAGGGACGACGACAGCGGCCGGCCGGACACTCCTGACACGGATGAATCCGGCTCGACGGGAGCGGAGGTGAAGCCTGCAGCACCAGCCCCGAAGGAGGACGACTTTGAGACGATAAAACTCATCAGCAACGGTGCTTACGGGTAAGCAAGGAGGAGAGAGCGAGAGGAGAGAGGAAGAGGAGAGAGCGAGAGGAGAGAGCGAGAGGAGGGAGCGAGAGGAGAGAGCGAGAGGAGGGAGCGAGAGGAGGGAGCGAGAGGAGAGAGCGAGAGGAGAGAGCGAGAGGAGGGAGCGAGAGGAGGGAGCGAGAGGAGGGAGCGAGAGGAGAGAGCGAGAGGAGGGAGCGAGAGGAGGGAGCGAGAGGAGGTAGCGAGAGGAGGGAGCGAGAGGATGATCATCATCAAAGGTTAGATATACGTTACATATTAGGTCATTTTAATCAACCTGTAAGATGATCATCAAAGTTTAGATATACGTTACATATTAGGTCATTTTAATCAACCTGTATGATGATGATCATCAAAGGTTAGATATATGTTACATATTAGGTCATTTTAATCAACCTGTATGATGATGATCATCGTCATCGTTGCTGGGCTGTGTGCCTAGTGAGAGACAAGGAGCGTGGACTCACATGAATATTTATTATATATGATTCATCATCGTTGCAGGGCCACGTGGCTGGTGGGGCACAAGGGGCATGGTTATCGCTCATTTATACATAGGTTTTCCATTATATATTATATATTATATATCGCCGGTGTGGTTGCAGGGCTGTGTGCCTGGTGCAGTACAAAAGGCATGGTCGCCACTTGTGTGGATATACGTTATATATTATATGTTATGTATTAGATATCGTCGCTGTGTGCTTGCAGGGCCGTGTGGCTGGTGCGACACAAGGAGACGAAGCAGCGC